ACATGGTGGCACATGTTACAGCTGTAGGTAGTTCTGGTGTATAGATACATGGACATACTGGCACATGGTGGGTGTTACAGCTGTATGTAGTTCTGGTGTATAGATACATGGACATACTGGCACATGGTGGGTGTTACAGCTGTAGGTAGTTCTGGTGTATAGATACATGGGCATACTGGGTGTTACACATGGTGGGTGTTACAGCTGTAGCTGTAGTGTATAGATACATGGACATACTGGCACATGGTGGGTGTTACAGCTGTAGGTAGTTCTGGTGTATAGATACATGGACATACTGGGTACCACATACTGGCACATGGTGGGTGTTACAGCTGTAGATAGTTCTGGTGTATAGATACATGGACATACTGGCACATGGTGGGTGTTACAGCTGTAGATAGTTCTGGTGTATAGATACATGGACATACTGGCACATGGTGGGTGTTACAGCTGTAGATAGTTCTGGTGTATAGATACATGGACATACTGGCACATGGTGGGTGTTACAGCTGTAGTTCTGGTGTAGTTCTGGTGTATAGATACATGGACATACTGGCACATGGTGGGTGTTACAGCTGTAGGTAGTTCTGGTGTATAGATACATGGACATACTGGCACATGGTGGGTGTTACAGCTGTAGGTAGTTCTGGTGTATAGATACATGGACATACTGGCACATGGTGGGTGTTACAGCTGTAGGTAGTTCTGGTGTATAGATACATGGACATACTGGCACATGCTGAGTGGTACAGCTGTAGGTAGTTCTGGTAGAGATACATGGACATACTGGTACATGCTGAGTGTTACAGCTGTAGATAGTTCTGGTGTATAGATACACGGGGAATACTGGCACATGGTGGGTGTTACAGCTGTATGTAGTTCTGGTGTATAGATACATGGACATACTGGCACATGGTGGGTGTTACAGCTGTATGTAGTTCTGGTGTATAGATACATGGACATACTGGCACATGGTGGGTGTTACAGCTGTAGATAGTTCTGGTGTATAGATACATGGACATACTGGCACATGGTGGGTGTTACAGCTGTAGATAGTTCTCGTGTATACATACATAAACATACTGCCACATGGTGGGTGTTATACAGCTGTCGATAGTTCTGGTGTATAGATACATGGACATACTGGCACATGATGGGTGTTACAGCTGTAGATAGTTCTGGTGTATAGATACACGGGAATACTGGCACATGGTGGGTGTTACAGCTGTATGTAGTTCTGGTGTATCCATAAACGGGAATACTGGCACATGGTGGGTGTTACAGCTGTATGTAGTTCTGGTGTATAGATACATGGACATACTGGCACATGGTGGGTGTTACAGCTGTAGGTAGTTCTGATGTATAGATACATGGACATACTGGCACATGGTGGGTGTTACAGCTGTAGATAGTTCTGGTGTATAGATACACGGGTATACTGGCACATGGTGGGTGTTACAGCTGTAGATAGTTCTGGTGTATAGATACATGGACATACTGGCACATGGTGGGTGTTACAGCTGTATGTAGTTCTGGTGTATAGATACACGGGTATACTGGCACATGGTGGGTGTTACAGCTGTAGATAGTTCTCGTGTATAGATACATGGACATACTGGCACATGGTGGGTGTTTTTAGCTGTAGGTAGTTCTCGTGTATAGATACATGGACATACTGGCACATGGTGGGTGTTACAGCTGTATGTAGTTCTGGTGTATAGATACATGGACATACTGGCACATGGTGGGTGTTACAGCTGTAGATAGTTCTGGTGTATAGATACATGGACATACTGGCACATGGTGGGTGTTACAGCTGTAGGTAGTTCTGATGTATAGATACACGGACATAGTGGCACATGGTGGAGTGTTACAGCTGTAGGTAGTTCTGGTGTATAGATACATGGACATACTGGCACATGGTGGGTGTTACAGCTGTATGTAGTTCTGGTGTATAGATACATGGGTATACTGGCACATGGTGGGTGTTACAGCTGTAGGTAGTTCTGGTGTCTAGATACATGGACATACTGGCACATGGTGGGTGTTACAGCTGTAGAGTAGTTCTGGTGTATAGATACATGGACATACTGGCACATGGTGGGTGTTACAGCTGTAGGTAGTTCTGGTGTATAGATAAATGGACATACTGGCACGTGGTGGGTGTTACAGCTGTAGATAGTTCTGGTGTATGTAGATACACGGGTATACTGGCACATGGTGGGTGTTACAGCTGTAGATAGTTCTGGTGTATAGATACATGGACATACTGGCACATGGTGGGTGTTACAGCTGTAGGTAGTTCTGGTGTATAGATACATGGACATACTGGCACATGGTGGGTGTTACAGCTGTATGTAGTTCTGGTGTATAGATACACGGGAATACTGGCACATGGTGGGTGTTACAGCTGTATGTAGTTCTGGTGTATAGATAAACGGGTATACTGGCACATGGTGGGTGTTACAGCTGTATGTAGTTCTGGTGTATAGATACATGGACATACTGGCACATGGTGGGTGTTACAGCTGTAGGTAGTTCTGGTGTATAGATACATGGACATACTGGCACATGGTGGGTGTTACAGCTGTAGATAGTTCTGGTGTATAGATACATGGACATACTGGCACATGGTGGGTGTTACAGCTGTAGGTAGTTCTGGTGTATAGATACATGGACATACTGGCACATGATGGGTGTTACAGCTGTAAATAGTTCTGGTGTATAGATACATGGACATACTGGCACGTGGTGGGTGTTACAGCTGTAGGTAGCTCTGGTGTATAGATACACGGTATACTGGCACATTGTGGGTGTTACAGCTGTCCTCGGGGTCAGAAAGTTACACAGATGATCACAATTAATTCCCTCTCTAGTTGCAGTTAAAGGTCTTGATTGAAATCACGCTATTATTTCACGCTATGATTGACATGGTGTCAACATGTGAATATTTAATTCCTCAAATGGTCCATCTACTTAATCCAGTGTCACTACTTTGTCTGAGCACTCACCTCCCTAGGGACAGACGAGGAATATGACGGCTAATCGTTTATACCCATGACGCGAACAATACACAACACAGTCTGTGGAACCAGAAACTCAGGCACACAGATCAGAGGCAGTCAACTGTGGGGGAAGTTCCATCCCTATATGTACACTCGAGATGAAATGGAGTTAATGTCGCACAGTTCAAAGATAATTGGTTGGTTGGTTTGTTGTTTAACGCCGCACTCGGCAATAGTCCAGCTATATGGCGGCGTCTGTAAAAAATCGAGTCTGGACCAGACAGTCCAATGACAAACAGCATGAGTATCAATCATGGCAATTGGGATACGATGATGCGTGTCAACCAAGTCAGCTCGCCAGACCAAATCAGCATGTGGTGCCCAACCACTCACGGTGTGTGCATAAAACGTCGTGTTTCATGTTGCCGGACTTCTCATAAGAATGGTGCCAAACGTTTTGTCTGTTAGCAGACAGAACATGAACTATTCCGTCATGAATACTAGTCATCTTTCATACTTTTATTGTCATATCATACCGATGTACATGTTCTATGTCAAGCTTCTCAATACTTAGGAAGTAGCCATTAGTTAGTTTGTAATATTGTATCACAGAAGAACAATTCACTCAATAGAGGTTATTAAAATGGCAAGTTGACGACTGCCTACGAACTATCTTCAGAGATTCAGTTGTTTCCTTAACATGCGGTAGGTATGAATTATACGTATGCTAATTCCGCCGATTCAGAAATGGATTGTGTGTGTTTGTTGGGTACGGTTACACCGGAAGTATTCCAGCTACATGGCGGCCGTCTGTAAATGTGAGACGCGTATATTGAAACATTTCGACCTTCCGAACATTGTTTGGTAATATCCACATGACTGACATACCATGGATGCAGCTTGACACCTCATCAGAACACCACCACGTTCTTGTAGGTCTCAATGACTTGGCTTCATCTCAGGTGGGAGTTATGCATCGTGACTGAACATAATTCATTTTTTGTTCTTTGTAGATTCAGAGGTATAGCGGGTTTAAATTACACTCAAGGTCTCAATCACGCCTCTTCCTTGTGGCAGTAAAAAGTTGTGATTGAAGAATAAGCAATCTTACTTCGCGTTATGACTGACAAGGTGTCAAACTACGAACTTTAAATTCATCAAGTGGCCCGACTAAGTAAGCCGTTGTCACTCCTTTGCCTCAACACGTATCTCCCAGGGGACAGGACACAGGCAGAGGAAACTGTTGACAGCCTCGTCAAATACTATTACAATGTTACAATGAGAAATTACAAAATATTTGGCTACACTATCGATTTTGGTTTCAGTATTTCAATATGAGCAAGTCACTTTGTAAGGAACATGCGATTTCATAAAGTTGCCATTTTCGGATGTTTAGGGAAAGAATAGTGATTCTTCGCTAGTGAGTACGCACATACCCATGTACGTTCTATTGGTAGATCACACGGCAATATAAGTTAGTTTTTAAATGACTCTTTGATCATTGACACAAGTCCGTTTATCTGCCACTACACTACCGCAGCGAGACACCGCGGGTCTTCCATGTGGACAGCTGCCGAATGTGTGTCCATCGATTTGTCCGGAAAACATAATATTTATAGCCATATCCTTATTAGGAACCTATTCCCATATTTAGGTGCTAAAGCAGATGGCAAATAATCCGAGATGAAAATCCGTAGAATAAATAATTGGCTCTGTCACAAGTCAGTAAGCCTTACATGATCTGCCCTAAGACGAGATGGTTCAATATTGGTAGTAAATTGGTACCATTCTGCAGTTAAAAATGAGTGCTGTGTACTGGTTTCGGGGAGACATGTCCTAGTTTTATCCTCAAGCGCCGAGCACCAGGCAAGGAAACAACATGTACTTTATATCTTCAAGTCTCAGTATGCCCGACCGTCACCTCTCCGGACAGAAGTTCTATCCACAAGGACATGGGCGACTGTCTGTGACCTGGCACATATTGCTCTGACTTACCTTCGCGCATGCCTTGTGTGACTCAATCCGTCTGTAGACCGAGTTGTTGCGCATGCTCCAAATGTTGACAATCCCATCATCCCCACCACTGGCCAGGAATTCTTCATCCGTGGACAATTTCAAGTTCGTGACGTCACGCTTATGGCCGCTTAAGCTGCTACACACAACAGGGTCACGTGGGTCGTAAATTGAAATTTTGCCCTTGCGCGATCCACTGAAAATACATTTTTGAAAATGTAAAAATGTCTTCTGATTAAGTGGTTTTAACCTGTAGACTTCAGTAATTTCTTTACTAAGTAGATTCGACCAATTCAATGTCAAGACACACGTGTGGTTGGTTGGCTTGTTGTTTTACGCCGCACTCAGCAGTATTCAGCTGCACTCAGCTGCATGGTGGCGGTCTGTAAATAATCGAGTCTGGACCATACAATCCAGTGAGCAACAGCATGAGCATCGATCTACGCAATTGGGATACGATGACATGTGCCAACCAAGACAGCGAGCCTGACCACCCGTTAGTCGCCTCTTACAAACATGGGTTGCTGAAGACCAATTCTAACCTGCATGTTCACGGGTTGCCAACGTAACAACGCACAATAACAATACGTAATGACAAACGTTTTATATAGCGTAATGTTAAGCACCAGGGGCTCCTTTCACGAAGTTTACCTTTAAGGTTAACCTAAATTCCCATTGATTACACAATGCCATTTAGAAAGTGGTCAAATGTAACATATGCTATATTGGGATTACACTTTCTTAGTAAAATACAGATACTAGTACTTTTGTTGGGTTGAGTCCCATCTGGGATTCGAAACCACACCCTCAGAGTCAGGTACCTAACTCCCATTCTTTAACATTGCACTAAGGTTACGTTAGTGACTTACGATCACCTTAGGGCTTTGTGAAAGAAGGCCCAGGTGTAGTAGTTGATAGTGATATTGTAAAAACAACATACACATTACTGTCCAAGAGAGAGAAACCAATATTCCAGCTATAGATAATCAGCTGGGTCCAGATAAGTATGAGTAACTTCATGGCTATCATCACCATCACCTATCATCACCATCACCATCACCTTCACCATCACCATCACCTTCACCATCACCTTCACCATCACCTTCACCTTCACCATCACCATCACCTTCACCATCACCATCATGCCGGGTGTCCTCATAAATGAGGTACAATGGATAACAGGGTACTGTTGTGCACACGAGGTACTGCGATCACAGGGTACTGTTGTGCACACGAGGCACTGCGATCACAGGGTACTGTTGTGCACACGAGGCACTGCGATCACAGGGTACTGTTGTGCACACGAGGCACTGCGATCTGCGATCACACGGGTACTGTTGATCACGAGGTACACTGCGATCACAGGGTACTGGGCACACGAGGCACTGCGATCACAGGGTACTGTTGTGCACACGAGGCACTGCGATCACGACTCACGAGGGGGATCACAGGGTACTGTTGAGCACCAGGTACACACAGGGTACTGTTGATCACGAGGTACTGCGATCACAGGGTACTGTTGTGCACACGAGGTACTGCGATCACAGGGTACTGTTGAACACGAGGTACTGCGATCACAGGGTACTGTTGAGCACGAGGTACTGCGATCACAGGGTACTGTTGTGCACAGGAGGCACTGCGATCACAAGGTACAGTTGAACACGAGGTACTGCGATCACAGGGTACTGTTGAGCATGTGTGAGGTGAGGTGAAATTGGGTTTAACGTCGTGTTTGAGAATATTTCGCTCATATGACGAGATGCATGCGTGTGTATGTGTATGTGCGGCTGCTTGTACTAGCCCAGACTTAAGCTGGTTTTATAGTGCTAGCCCATTGAGATACTACGCCGCAGTGAAGCATGAATACCCCACTAAGACACATTATACTGACTCCAAGCCGACCAGTCTTTGTTGTACCCATTAATGCCGAGCGCCAGGCAGGGACCAACAAGTACCATATTTTAACGTCTTTTGGTATGACGCGGTCGGGGATCGAACCCGCGACCTTCCGCTCTCCGGGCGGACGCTCTAACCACTACACTGCGGAGGCGGTCGATGAGCATGTGTAGTTATGTTGAACGAGTGGGTTTTATTTTCACCTCATTAGCTTATCTTTGGACCAGGACAGACTTCCCACGTGGCAGTGGTCACGTGTTCGGAAATTCTTGACAACTTTCATACTTGTAGCATCCCATAGCTGCAAGATACATTGTGAAGCTGGTCAGAGATGGTCCTTGAGAAAGGCACCAAACCAACGAAACAAAGAAACATATGTATACATCTCTTAAAGGATAATGCATTCCTAAAAATATAAGACATGAAAATATTTGAATAACAATTTGATTTCAATTAGTAAGATATTGATGAAATTGACGAACAAAAACTATAAGATACTTATTGATAACCAAGTCTTCTTTTCTAAACTGAACACATTTTGATTACCTAATTTGGGGGAAATTCGACAACATACATGCAGAGTCATCACATTACTGAGACAAGATGTTCTAACATTATCAAGATTAAATACTGTATATGAATGTTTGATCCGTCGCTAAGCATGCCCAAATTAATCTTTTCATATAGTAGATGGATGATACAAGACTCCCCATGAACTACCGCATTACCAAATGATAAATTAGAAATTGCTAACTGTTTGAACTCTAACATTTTCTAATACTTCCGAAACGGGCATTCGAATGTATTTTAATCATTCGGTTCTTGAGAGGCATATAGAAGTTGGTATTCAAGAATAAAGAAGTTGAGATCCATAATATTTTGTCTTATATTTAAACCACGTCTAAAATCAATGAAATTGTGCATTTGGTTTCAGCAGAACAAATATTCCCACTAAAGCTTTCATCAATAATCAGTTAAGGTCGTGAGGTCATGTTCAGTATATGACGCATGTATGTGTTTATATAGTGCATGTGAATGTAGAGACACTTGTATTTGTAGTGATGGTCAGTGGCAGCGATGATTGAAGCACCCGTAAAATGTCGTATGCGGTCGGCGGCAATGTTATTTTAAGTCCCTTGACGGCACAGTCAAGAAGGTTGGCGACTGATACGCCAAGATGCCAATCCCAGGCCCTTTACAACCTGAGCGATGTGTTATCTCCACGTCTAGAGCGGATTGGATACCTATCTGAAAATACAGAACTTCTGCCAGCTTCCATGCTCATTATGGCGTGGCTCTCCAAGATTTTACAGATTCCCTATCTGCTGATGGAGTACACAGCAACCTGCGGTAGCTACCTCTGTTCGTATTTTGTATCGATACATATGGACGCCCCAGCATGGCAAGTATTATAGGGAATGAACATTTCACAGTTCACACATTTCGTTAGCATAAAATATACGCAGGATTAGAAATTTGGATTCAGTGGATATTTGAATAAACGATAAATACATTGCAATATTTTACAATTGTAGAGTTAAGCTGAATCTAAGAAACAAATCATAGAATTAGCAATGCTTCCATTGTTTCCAGCCGATCCCCATCTGTATCAACAATACAAGCATGGTCGACCTGGGGCCGAACCCATACCCCCTGCTCTTACGTGACAGTAGTATTTCCAGGGAAACATTAACAGTGTGTGCATGTCTCCACACGTTCTCTTGAAGACTCGCTCTTTAATATTCCGGCTATATGTGGGCGACCTGTACTAAGTCTGGACCTAACAATCCAGTGATCGATATTCTGAGCAACGAGAAGCGCCGTCCGAGTACGAAGACAGGCAAGTGATCTGGTTTGTTTGTAACCTACTACATAGGTTGTCGGGGACCGAGGTCCACCATGCAATCCCCACGGAGAGGGCTACAGACAGACGGGATGAGGCAGCGTGTACCCACCAGGATGTCTCCCTGACAGGTTCCTATAGCCAGCGTCTCTCCCACCTTGCTCCACGCCACGGATGATACGTAGAAGTCCTCCAACTCGGGCAGATGCAGGCGTAGTCGCTTGCACTCCTCATTCTTGACGTTCCACACGTAGGTGTTAGCCCCCAGTGCTACAGCGATGCAGCCGTTGGGGCCCCAGTCTAATACGTTACAATCTGACCATGAAATTAAAATGTGTATTAAATTTGCATTCCAATAAAGCAGTTCATTGATGTGCAAGCTAACGGTACAGCTCATGTACAATGTAAACTCATTAGCGTGGTCTCTGAGGCAAACAATAATGGAAAAACAACTGAATTGGATACAGGTTGCATTAAACAAAAAATGCTAAACTTACAAAAATCATCTCTGAGCCCTGGCATGTCTAACACTCGGTCCGGGGCCGTGGACACGTGTCTTTTGGCAGCCCGGGGGGAGGGGGAGCTGAACACCTCTTCTCCCAGGTCCATCAACCAAGGGGTAGAGGACCCTAGGGGAAAAAAACATGTCATTAAACAAACATAACAGATGCCTTTATCTTGCGTGGAAGTAATTTCTAATTATTCTATCACAAGTCGATAAAACTCTGCAAATGGAATAAATACATATATTGACGAATGTCAGTTACTACTTTATGAAACATTTGTATGAATGAGATGGAGTCAGTGGTGCAGGTGTAGTGGTGGGTGTCGTCTCCACATTGCACAGAAGTCTCTCTCTATCAACGGGTAGAGTTGAAGTGCATTGCGAATACCGCAATGGGGCCATGGTAACTCCAGCAGTCCTTATGCAGAGTTCCTACTGGTAACGTTTCGAAAGTAAATCCCCCAATCTGAGCTAAATGCTAGAACTGTACAGATAATCCAGAAAAAACGATTGTCCTCGCGACTTTTGTAACTCTGAATACGGTCCAGTATTGCCAGGTAGTTAGTGACGAGCATTCCTTTATCACAGATCTGGCTATTTCTAACTAGGAAAGTAGATTCAAAATATTTGTCGCGGAGTAACAGCAGATACCTTGTATTCAATAATCAGGAATATATTGGATGTTTTCAATATATTTAGTTTGAAAGCAAGGCTATATTCGTTAATTCCAGGCCAAATATATGGGAGAGACCAGGTGAAATGGATTGTAAGGTCTCATTGAGGAATGTGGTGACGTAAATGTATGGCTGCTCGTACTGGTCCAGACTAATGCACACGGAGATGCTATGGTACTAACTGATGCATTATAGCACACGTAGATGCTATGGTACTAACTGATGCCGTATAGCACACGTAGATGCTATGGAACTAACTGATGCCGTATAGCACACGGATATGCTATGGTACTAACTGATGCCGTATAGCACACGGAGATGCTATGGTACTAACTGATGCCGTATAGCACACGGAGATGCTATGGTACTAACTGATGCCGTATAGCACACGGAGATGCTATGGTACTAACTGATGCCGTATAGCACACGGAGATGCTATGGTACTAACTGATGCCGTATATGCACACGGAGATGCTATGGTACTAACTGATGCCGTATAGCACACGGAGATGCTATGGTACTAACTGATACCGTATAGCACACGTAGATGCTATGGTACTAACTGATGCCGTATAGCACACACGCTAGATGCTATGGTACTTACTGATGCCTGGTATATAGCACACACGTAGATGCTATGGTACTAACTGATGCCGTACAGCACACGGAGATGCTATGGTACTAACTGATGCCGTATAGCACACGGAGATGCTATGGGAGATGCTAACTGATGAGGTCGTATAGCACACGGAGATGCTATGGTACTAACTGATGCCGTATAGCACACGTAGATGCTATGGTACTAACTGATGCCGTATAGCACACGGAGATGCTATGGTACTAACTGATGCCGTATAGCACACGGAGATGCTATGGTACTAACTGATGCCGTATAGCACACGGAGATGCTATGGTACTATCTGATGCCGTATAGCACACGGAGATGCTATGGTACTAACTGATGCCGTATAGCACACGGAGATGCTATGGTACTAACTGATGCCGTATAGCACACGGAGATGCTATGGTACTAACTGATGCCGTATAGCACACGGAGATGTTATGGTACTAACTGATGCCGACTCCTAGCCGACCACTCCTTCATTCACCTCACCCCCACCCATCGAGTCTGGACCAAGCAAACCAATGATTGACAGGAAGATCCCGATTACCGTCATCTGTGTAGCAGGGCAAGCAATCGATCACCGGGGATAGTCAGCCAATCGCGTATACGTGAAGTCGACTTCACCGACAATGGGGTATCGGCGTTGATGTTTGTTTTATAACAAAGTGTAATGGTATATACTCCCATCAAAAGTTTAGACTCGCTAGTGTACATGTAGCCACTTACTTCAGGCAACTGTTCTAAACTAAATTTTGCAAAATATTCCATACTGTTTAAAGGTGCTGTTTATACATCAACTGATGTATTGTAAAACAATTCATAACGTTGAAAAGATTATTGTCATGCGTTCAATAAATGATGAACCTCGGTTAAAAATGACAAATTCTTATCAAAACTTTACACCAAAACGCAGCTGTTCACATGCACGATATTTTCATATACTTTTCAGCAGTTTGATGCATGATCCTCGTGCAATTAATCTGCATAAGGTTTGCAGTTGTTTCCCCTAAGTTAGTGGAGAAATTCATCTTCGTTGTAACCATATATAGATACATAACATATAGTGAATGTTTTAAGTGAGTCTAAACTTTTGATGGGTAGTATATATACGACTGAATATGATTTGTAAAATAATAGTACAGATTGTTTTAAATTACAACTTACGCTTTCGGGTTTCATAGGCGCAGGAAATGCATGCAATTGTTTAAAGGACTGAAATTGCAAATATTATTGCAATTCCTTATGTGATATCATTGCATATAGCTTTGTAGTCGATCACGTTATGATGTTGGCGTCTTTTCTAATATCTCATCAATGATTCCCTAGTCCCAAACATAGGAACAATAAATCATTATAACAATTCATAAAAGGATTATTGAAAGCTAAAAAAATAAACCGCTTGGGATGAAAGTTTGACTGAAGTTCCCTTTTTCAGATTTGAACAAACATCAACTCTCTACATATTTACCAGATAAAATACCGCAGAGGTTGACACTAATTCAAAACGTGATGCACCGCTTTATCTGGCCCCGGTGAGGTGTTATGGAGGCGGTAGCTGTTTGGGGCGTACTGCGTAACAAATCATGTATGGATTTGAATACAACTTCACAGACTATAGTCCGTTTGGCTCAAAATCGGACCGATGAATTGCAATCTAACTCGAAAACTAATAAACATAAAATACTCAATGAACGCTGATCATAATCAAAACATCATACCAACTCTGTGAGGTTTTTGCAGAATTTTTGTCCTAAAAATAAAAAAGTTGTTTAACAATCTATCATTAAAATATTGACGCAGTTCACTATTTGTTACGAGGGAGGAGTGCAGAGAAAGGGACAGCCAGGGGCGTCTCTGGGGCATATATGAGTAGTGATATTACCCTCTTGGCATACATCCAAACTACATGTACATTCTACTTTGACCCAATCCCATCCCGAATTGAAATGTTCGTACTTCAACCCCGGAGACACAGCCATCAATATCATCTGATGAAACACCATATCAAATTTAAACACAGTTATTTACAATCATATTTAAAATGTCTTTACAATTTCTTTCAAGTACCTTATGATAAGAATACGCTTCAAACGAGATCGAATTTAAAATTCTTTGCCTTTTATGACGGTTGTCGTTCTATTCTCGCTACCAATTACTGGTATAGAGCAGCTGAATAACAAATGTACATTTACTACACTTATATTTTATCAAAATACAAAGTAAAACAGCGTTGACCAGGGGCTCCTTTCATGGAGCAACCTTTACTAAGGTTAACCTCAACTCCCATTCTTTAACATTGCGCTAAGGTTACCTTAGTGACTTACGATCACCTTAGTGCTTTGTGAAAGGAGGCCTTTTTATTTTTTTGCCTGTCCTTAAACGTGTATCTCTGCAGGTAGGAGATGTCATTTTGTGACATGAGGGACTGACTAATCTTCATCCTTATGTTGTTGTTTTTTCAATCGTTTTGTTATAACGGAGTAAAACAGGTTATGCCACACTATCTTGCTTACACATTGGACTTTAGTATTACTCATTGCAAGTAGTTGTAATTACGCCTTATAAAGGTAAATAATTTTGAAATCGTTTAACATGGATATGGCAAAAATGTAACATCAAGCAGTCAGAAATATACACTCCACTAACAAACGGTGAAATCACAACATTTTTCTTAGACTTGACGGACAAGAAAAGAAAGATTTATGGATGTCAACTTCTTTATTGTGAATAACACGACGTTTCGGAGTGTATGCTTGCTCCTTCATCAGGTGAGACCACACGACGTTTCGGAGTGTATGCTTGCTCCTTCACCAGGTGAGACCACACGACGTTTCGGAGTGTATGCTTGCTCCTTCATCAGGTGAGACCACACGACGTTTCGGAGTGTATGCTTGCTCCTTCATCAGGTGAGACCATTCACCTGATGATGGAGCATACACTCCGAAACGTCGATTCACAATAAAGAAGTCTCACCTGATGAAGGTGCAAGCATACACCCGAAACGTCGTGTTATTCACAATAAAGAAGTCTCACCTGATGAAGGTGCAAGCATTGACAAACGTCGTGTTATTCACAATAAAGAAGTTGACATACATAAATCTTTCTTTTCTTATGCATTCCACTTCTAAATGCGCTTCAAATATTTGACGGACAAGGCCGAGCAAAAGACAACAAAATAGAAGTAAGCGTACAATGGGAGGTAACTCGTGATTGTTGCCATAAAGGTTCCCGCGGGGCCTGGAAGCACGATTTTGTGGAAATAACTGTCAACATAAAGACTTCTTACAGGCCTGTCTGTCAGACAAGTAGGCCATAATGAAGTTAATTTATTAGATTTGTTAAACCTCCGCCGGCCTCAGGGACACCCTTTTTCAGATGATTCAACTGACCCAAGTCCCAAAAGACGACATAAGTCGCCTGTGTTCCTCGCTATTCGTACATGGAATACACTATTATAAGTAGTTTTACCAAACCTTCATGAGAACCACACCCGTCTACAGTTAATATACACAAAATATAAGTGAGTGAGCGAGTGACTTTGGTTTAACGCCGCTTGTAGCAATATTCCAGCAATATTCCAGCAATATCACGGCGGGGACACCAGAAATGGACACGAAACATTTCAAACCTCGATAGATAAAGCTTACATTATAGCGGCCTATCCGCCACTTCCAAACAGCCTGAAACAATCCACATACCCTTCCCACATGTACAGATACAAACAGTTGTTACAACCTGTACAGATACAAACAGCTGTTACAACCTGTACAGATACAAACAGCTGTTACAACCTGTACAGATACAAACAGCTGTTACAACCTGTACAGATACAAACAGCTGTTACAACCTGTACAGATACAAACAGCTGTTACAACCTGTACAGATACAAACAGCTGTTACAACCTGTACAGATACAAACAGCTGTTACAACCTGTACAGATACAAACAGCTGTTACAACCTGTACAGATACAAACAGCTGTTACAACCTGTACAGATACAAACAGCTGTTACAACCTGTACAGATACAAACAGCTGTTACAACCTTTACAGATACAAACAGCTGTTACAACCTTTACAGATACAAACAGCTGTTACAATCTGTACAGATACAAACATCTGTTACAACCTGTACAGATACAAACAGCTGTTACAACCTGTACAGATACAAACAGCTGTTACAACCTGTACAGATACAAACAGCTGTTACAATCTGTACAGATACAAACAGCTGTTACAACCTGTACAGATACAAACAGCTGTTACAACCTGTACAGATACAAACAGCTGTTACAACATGTACAGATACAAACAGCTGTTACAACCTGTACAGATACAAACAGCTGTTACAATCTGTACAGATACAAACAGCTGTTACAACCTGTACAACCTGTACAACCTGTACAAACAGCTGTTACAACCTGTACAGATACAAACAGCTGTTACAACCTGTACAGATACAAACAGCTGTTACAACCTGTACAGATACAAACAGCTGTTACAACCTGTACAGATACAAACAGCTGTTACAACCTGTACAGATACAAACAGCTGTTACAACCTGTACAGATACAAACAGCTGTTACAACCTGTACAGATACAAACAGCTGTTACAACATGTACAGATACAAACAGCTGTTATAACCTGTACAGATACAAACAGCTGTTACAACATGTACAGTCAGAGTAAATTGCTGTTGGCAATATTCCAGCAGTGTCGGCGAGGGGCACACAAGTACTGGGCTTCTCATATTGTGTCCATGGAGGTAACTGAAGTCGGACATCGCCCCACCTTATAGGAAACCTCGTTATAACGCCTGTTTCTAGGACACCCCATACTTGACGTGGACAAGGATGAGTGTATTCACTGATTTGATGATCGGGTATGATACTTACTTATCTCAGTTTATCTACGAGATGCTATATGACAATAGGCTGAGCGCCGCTTTCTAAAACATTTCTGTAACATAACAGTGTCTGCTTCGAGGAGGAAAGCCCGAAATGATGGAGGTCTCAGACGGTCAACACTTTGGCTTAATTCAAGCCCACGGGTATATTCCAGACTTCTATAATAGTTTTAACGAATCTGGGAATCGAAACAAAGCTCATGTGTGTAAGTGACGCCTCGGCGGGGCAACTCTTCACATTCTTGCACGCTAAGGGACGCAACTTGGGTTATTCGTGCCTCCTGATGGAGCGTTTAAGAGGCTAAATAGATAATCAGGTCTTCGCCATCACGGTAACTGTTATCCTTTAACACTTACCCATTTTACTTCCTTAATTTCAAATTCAGTATCTAATTAAAATAGACAACTTCTTATTGAAAGAAACACTCCTTTTAACTCATCATCAATCGCGAAAAGAGCTCCGAAAGTTCAAACATTGTGACTTAATCTTAATCGTCGGCAGTGTCAGTTAACTTCTTCAGATATTTCAGTTGCGAAGGTATGGCATGAAGAACTGACTGAGCCATGAATGTTGGATGTCGTCTACCACTGGTGCAGTGTGAGTATTTCCTTCAAAGTGCTGTGCCTGTTAATCAATCAGACGTGCGTGCTTTGTAAAAAGTTCAATCTTCCCACTGACTTGAACACATTCTACATTCTATAGAGCGACGGATTGTAACGTCGCGCCGTCAGTACTAGCATACAGGTATAACACCACTTTCATAAATATATATTTTGCAGTATTTCCTTATTGTACCAAAAATATCGAAGTAAACAAACATTTTGAGTCACATTTTTTATAAAAGCACACAATTGTAAGAATGTGAATTTGTCATGCTCTAGCCAAGGACGTGGCGTCTAGATAGAACATCACACTCAACGAGCATTGCCTGGTGAATACACTCCGATTATAACTCGGTATGTCAGGGATAGCGACAGTTCAATTAATGCGCTCAATCAAATATCACATCCAAGTCAGTTGGCAAACATTTCCGAGGTTAAACCAAATGTGTAAGAGTTCCACCCGTAACCCCCGCTTGAAATGTATTCTATTTATCATGATGATTTCTAGCAGGTTGGGGAAACCTACCGATCGGCCTATAATAGGCCAAACGGGATATAATAGGCCATTCCGCCTATTTTGCTATAGGCCGATTGGCCTATAATTATGATATTTATCAAATAAATTTGAAGTAGTGCATTTCCGCATGAGGATATTAACATCATTCAAGTTTTGATGTCCAAAGGTTTTCATTCAAACCCTTTTTGAGCATTTTCATCACGTAATAAAGGGGTTTGGAAATTGCTAATTAAATATAAGACTGTAATATTTTTGACAATTTTCACTGAAAATTAATGACATAGATATTCAGTTTTAGTTGTCAAAATGAAAATCTGTGCAAAATTGTGTTTTTAAATGAAACATCTTTTCCTGAACATTATATAAATTTCCATTTTGTCCAAAAACTTATTTTTTTCAAGCTGAGCAGGTCCATTAACTATTCATCTCTATGATTTAATAAAACCATTTCGTGCGGAAATTGATAGTTTGTGAACTGTTAATAATAATGGTCAAATATAGCCTGATCGGCCTATAGCAAAATAGGCAGAACGGCCTATAACATCCCGTTCGGCCTTTTATAGGCCGATCGGTAGGTTTCCCCAACCTGTCTAAGGGTTAGGGTTTAGGTTCAGGATTTAGATTTAGCATTATGTTAGGGTTAGGTTTAGGGTTAGGGTGGGCTTTGTATAAAACAAACCATCTATTTTTAGGCATAGAATGATAAAAACGGGGTTTATGGGCGGAAATCTTTCCGTTTGGAAACTATGAATGTGTCAACAAATTAAGTTATTCATAATGGTGTTAAACATTTACTTGTAGTATATCCGATCAACTAGAAAATGTCCGAATGTGAAAAAAGAGAGTGACGTTAGTGGCACAGCTCTACAGACACACTAGCCCCAACCCTGCTCTTCTCCTACCATGGGAGCGTGTAACGACCCTTGTTTAACCCAATCTGTGGTCAGTACTTACGTCTTGTGGTGGTGGGTCGCGATGGCGAGTTGCATGTTGATCCACATCCGTGGGTGGGTAGAATTCCGTGTTGTTCATTTAGAACCACGGATAAGCGCCGACTGTATTCCTTCACCCCTGGAGATTCGACCCCACCCTGCAAACTCTTCTCATTTGGGCTACGGGAAAAAAGCTGCATATGTGCGCTTTCCACATTGAGTTCCGGGCGATAAGGGATGAACCGGTCCTTAAAGTTGCCTTGCTCATGGTTGCTGCTTCGGAGAGATCGTTTACCAAACCAGCTTTCACAACGATCCATTATTGACACAGTATTAGATGAAGTCGTCGATTAACAATCTGAACACTTGTTTTTTACGTGTGTTTAACCCAGAGGCCATGACTGGCGATAGTGAAGATTCTGTTCAATTAACGAACAATGACACGCTACCTATAGAGGTACAGCTCGTGCAGCAGCAAATGCACGTGCTAATTTCATTGGCGGATAAATTTGGGGCACATGATAGGCCTTGTTCGAACTGGTGTAATGTGTACAGGTAACGCAGAAAGTATCCTTCATGATAAATTATACTCTTGAAAAAAAGTAGGGGAACTTCATTTTTATTTTACGATTGAAAAATTGGGAGATATATCGGAGTCAATCAATGTTGACATGATAATAAAGAATGTTTTGAGAGTGCATAACCACTTGCACTTCCTTATGACCATAGTTGTTTGTACGGTAATCGCTCTTCAAAGATGATTGGTGTATGAAGTGGAATTTGCATGTGTACGATTTTCATTTTCAAACCCAAAAAACCCCAGCTAGATACAAACACTAACAACTGTGTGATGCAAGATGATTGTCAAAATTCATGGTCTACAATGTGTTATCGACATTCTTGAAAACCGTAAAAAATCGAGAATGACATCCCATGCACGTGTATGGGTCTACTGCATGGTGCACCTGCATGCTATGCGTTGTGTTTCGGGATAGTGATAAAGAGAAATGGTGATGCGTTCATAAGATGAAGGTCTTTGGAAAGTTTCCTAACGCTTATACTTCCTATACAAATTGAAAGTTCAGGTTCCCCTATTTTTTTTAAGAGTACATATGTCAGAAAGTGTTTCTGTACGGTATATAAGGTAATAGGAAAATATGTAACAATAGCTGTGATATTATTTAACGATAAAAGGTAGTTTTCGCGATAATGTCTAATATATGCAAGACACTGCTTTTTCATGCTGATGTTCCTTATTGGAATTGAAAAATATGTATATCTTAACTTTCAAAGACTTAAACAATAAGAGCTTACTGTGCTAATAAATGAGACTAATCTGTGAAAGGAGGAAGGTTATACATTCTTATATTAGGGAACGAAAGATCAGCTGCGGACAACCAGGGGCGTAGCTACCATCATTAAAAAAGCCCGGGCTTACACATGATTGTTGCTAAAAGGTTGGACAAACCCTCAATACTATCTAAATATGAAGGTTTGCAAACTATCGGGTTTACACGAACACAAATGGCTTGCTACGCGCCTGGCAACTTCATACAACGGACAGACAGGAATGATCGTCTGTCGGGGAGAGCTTCTGAAATCTACGCTTGTTAATGTTAGTACAACAAATGTATTCAGACTGTCAAACATGATGTCTGTAGTAACAAGACGCTTTGTCTGCGCTTGGAAGATTTGATGTAGAACACAGCCAATAACCCCCTGAAACCTAAACCTGCTGGGTATAGAGCCAGACGGCCTATCAGATGTCCGTTGTTATCCCAAGAGCACAAAGCAGTACGGCGACGTTGGTATCAGGCTCGACGTCGCTGGAAGACATGGGGACTGGTCGGACGGAAGTCGATTGTTCATGAATGACAGCGAAGCAGAAACAGTGTATATGCACATCGGAATATCTTGGAGTAAGTACCGTTTGGCAGGGTTTTACTGATGGTGTGGGGTTGCGAGCCAATTTACCCCGACAGTAAGTTAAATTGAAGTTTGGATGAGTGCCTTTGCTATGGATATTAGTAACATGTTCATACTTTGAAAAATATGGGGTGTTGCGTTTCTTTGTTGCATGTGCATACATTTGAGTGCGAAGTGGAAAGGCTTCTGGAGAGTATTTCTTCTGCTGCAAATGGTATCTCTGCTAGACTTATTCATATGACAGAGTGAGAGTGGGATGGATTTAACGTCGCTCTGGTAAACATTTCTGTTATATTACTGCGTGTCAGAGGCATGGTATCCAACTCGACTATATACAGGTCGGAAAACCCATACTACCATACTCTTGGAAAACCCATACTAGCCGTTCTACCATTCAGGGTGAATCTAGGATCCATGGTAATAGAAACATGGCAGGGGACGAGGGACGATGGTATGGAATAACGGCGCTTTGATCTCCCGGAACTACCCTGACCCCTGTGACACTACTTGACTGATGGGGCACTTACAGAAGTTTAGTTGGTTAATATCTAATCCCCAGCGCAGTATCCAAATATAAGAAGCTGTTTGTGAAAAAGTGACGGGTGCTAAAGAATGTCGAGATGACTTCTCCGTTGTTGAGGTGGTTGATCAGACCTTCCAAAAAAACAGTCAAATATCCTGTCACACAACTCTCACCAGATATAAGAAACTAGTGAGATGCGAAAAGCCGTCGCCATTTACTAATACCTCGCCGACGTTGTCAGCGTCAACGCTGTGGCACATGGCCTGAAGAAGGGGACAACAATCAGCTTCTTATACCCTGTCACTTCTGGCAACAACTCTGAAGGACAAATTGGATTATATGTAACGTTTGGTTGACGTTGAGTTGGTTTTGTGGCCATATTTCAGTAAAGGGGATCAGCGTTTCAATTTCAAGTTTCTCCAGTCAGCTATTATCTATAAAAATCGTGTAAAGAGGGAAAGCATGGCCTCCACTGTCTGGGTGGAAGTTCCGCAAGGACAAAGACCCTAATGACGTCACTACAGTCGAGGTCGCTGCGGCAGTGGATAGCGTCTTATATTCAACATAAAGTGTCATCGTTTCAGTCCTAGGCCAAATGCTAAAAAGGTCCCTATCTTTCAGGATCTCTCAGCAGCAGTAAAGGTGTTATCCAGTAATTAGTATGACACCTCCCACGCTCCAAAACATCTTTTTGATATTGAACTAGCCACATAATGTACCAGGTTACTAAAAACAAACAAGGTTTACCCCACTGTTGAAAAAGTGGTCCACAAGTTCATAGGCGAACTGTATAAGTATTAACCACATGATCTAAAGCACCGGTGTTTTACATGGTCAAGATATGCATTATAGGTGATAAGGCTGGATGTATCATATTACCTGATGTTGATGCTATCTCTACATTTGGCCCAGGAGTAGTTCACGGCAATGGAGGCTCGATTCCGTTATGTTCATAATGATGTTGGGTATTTTGTTTCGTTTTAGTTCTGTTTTGTTTTTGTTTTGTTTGTTTTTTGTTTTCTCTTTTCTGTTTTGTTTTTTTGTTGTTGTCTTTGGGTTTTGGGTTTGTTTGTTTGTGGTTTTTTGTGTGTGTATTTTGGTTTGTTTGGGGTTTTTTGCTTGGGGTTTGTGGGGTGTTTTGGTTTTTTGTCTTTTGGGGTGGGTGGGGTTGGGGAGTGTTGGGTTATTGGGGTTTTTTCTCTTTTTTGTTGTTGTTTTTGTTTGGTTGGTTTGGTTTTGGCTTTGGTTGTGTTTTTGTTTGGTTGGTTTTGGGGACGGGCTGTTTTGTGGGGTGGTGGTTGTGTTAATGCGTGTTCCATCTCACTTTGAGCAAAATTGCATTGTCACGATGGAGTTCGAATAAACGCGGTAATTCAGTTATACATACTCGACGTATGACGGCTCTGCAATAACACGGGGCAGCAACATTTGAAATGAAAAGGGTGTTCAAGCAGCTGTGTTAATATAACACGCAATCATGTACCTGAATCCCCAAAAGACACACAGTTTGTATATTTGGGACCTATTCTGGCCCGGAATTCCCAAAAAAAGATACAGTTTGCATATTGGAGACCTATTCTGGCCGGAATTCCAAAAAGAGATACAGTTTGCTTACTGGGGACCTATTCTGACCCAGAATTCCAAAAAGAGATACAGTTTGCTTACTTGAGACCTATTCTGGCCGGAATTCCCAAAAGAGATACAGTTTGCATACCGGGGACCTATTCTGGCCCGGAATTCCCAAAAGAGATACAGTTTGCTTACTTGAGACCTATTCTGGCCGGAATTCCCAAAAGAGATACAGTTTGCATATTGGAGACCTATTCTGGCCCGGAATTCCCAAAAGAGATACAGTTTGCATACTGGGGACCTATTCTGGCCGGAATTCCCAAAAGAGATACAGTTTGCATATTGGAGACCTATTCTGGCCCGGAATTCCCAAAAGAGATACAGTTTGCATATTGGAGATCTATTCTGGCCGGAATTCCAAAAGAGATACAGTTTGCATACTGGGGACCTATTCTGGCCCGGAATTCCCAAAAGAGATACAGTTTGCATATTGGAGACCTATTCTGGCCCGGAATTCCCAAAAAGAGATACAGTTTGCATACTGGGGACCTATTCTGGCCGGAATCCCCAAAAGAGATACAGTTTGCATACGGAAGACCTATTCTGGTCGGAATTCCAAAAGAGATACAGTTTGCATACTGGGGACCTATTCTGGCCGGAATCCCCAAAAGAGATACAGTTTGCATATTGGAGACCTATTCTGGCCGGAATTCCCAAAAGAGATACAGTTTGCATACTGGGGACCTATTCTGGCCGGAATTCCCAAAAGAGATACAGTTTGCATACTGGGACCTATTCTGGCCGGAATTCCAAAAGAGATACAGTTTGCATATTGGAGACCTATTCTGGCCGGAATTCCCAAAAGAGATACAGTTTACTTACTTGAGACCTATTCTGGCCGGAATTCCAAAAAGAGATACAGTTTGCTTACTTGAGACCTATTCTGGCTGGAATTCCCAAAAGAGATACAGTTTGCATACTGGGGACCTATTCTGACCCGGAATTCCCAAAAAGAGATACAGTTTGCTTACTTGAGACCTATTCTGGCCGGAATTCCCAAAAGAGATACAGTTTGCATACTGGGGACCTATTCTGACCCGGAATTCCCAAAAAGAGATACAGTTTGCTTACTTGAGACCTATTCTGGCCGGAATTCCCAAAAGAGATACAGTTTGCATACCGGGGACCTATTCTGGCCCGGAATTCCCAAAAAGAGATACAGTTTGCTTACTTGAGACCTATTCTGGCCGGAATTCCCAAAAGAGATACAGTTTGCATATTGGAGACCTATTCTGGCCCGGAATTCCCAAAAGAGATACAGTTTGCATACTGGGGACCTATTCTGGCCGGAATCCCCAAAAGAGATACAGTTTGCATATTGGAGACCTATTCTGGCCGGAATTCCCAAAAGAGATACAGTTTGCATATTGGAG